GCTCACCGGAAGCACTTTTTCATCAAAACAAGATGGCGGCGCCCAGCTGATGCCGGTACCGGGCCGCGGCATAAAAAAGGTTGGGGACCACTGCTTTAAAGGAAGGAGGAGGAGGACAAAGAAGAAATTAAATCAGATAAATCTCTTTTCCTTTTCTAGGGGAAATACCATTAGGATGCCAGATTCCTATAGTAAACATTATGGTGCAGAGATTGAAGGCTTGGAGTTTTGAAACAAAAGTTTAAATCTGACTTTCAATTGATAAACAAATTTGAGTGGAAGACATTAATGTAGTTTACAAAGAGTGTAAAACTTAGAACATGCTTACTAAGTACGTCTGTATTACCAGCAGTCTCAATTCCAGCCCAGGTTTTCTTCTGCAATGTTTATATATCACATACGATTTCTGCTCACCTGTCATGGTGTCTTTTCTAGAAGTATGCTCTCCTTTATTCCCATGGTAAGTAGCATTTGTTCCAGTTGACTCATAATCTGTTTTTCTTTCTTTTAAACTGATCATTTCCCGAGGGGAGGCTGGGGCACTTGCTACAAACAAAAACAAATGCAGATTTTAGAACTCTTGACTGAATGAGTGACATAGTAAAGTATATGAACACACGTTCTAAGCAATGCAGCAATGCAGCTATCTTGAAAATAATGAATCTCTTTAAAAGTAGTTTCATTTGAAAATCTGTGGCAACTGTACATACATAAAACTCTTAAATGAAAATAGTCTTGAATTATTATACCTTAGAAATTAAATTTAACAATATTGCCTTCGAATATCAGATGTTTAAAATCTTTGTCTTATAGAAGAGGGAAAGGTAAAAGCCACTGAGATAAACCATTAAAACTCTGCATCTGCTGAACCCCATTGATACAGATCAGATTAATCAATGGCACCACACACAAAAGGGATAGAATAATAATAGCAATAGCACATAGCTTATATATTGCTTCACAGTGTTTTATAGCCCAATCTAAGTGGTTTAGAGAGTCAGCATATTGCCCCCAACAATCGAGGTCTTCATTTTACTCATCTCAAAAGGATGGAAGGCTGCGTCAACTTTGAGCCTGGTGAGATTTGAACTGCCAAACTGCTGGCATCTAGCAGTCAGCAGAAGTAGCCTGCAGTACTGAATTCTAACCACAGCACCACCACAGCTCTTATAATGATGATGATGTCACCACAGGCCAAATATGGCACTCCTGAATCTTTCTAGAATTATTCAATCCATGAATTCCATAGAATTTGTCATAATGGGAGGATGTGCACATAGCCATTTCATTTGACTTATCTTTTATGATTGATATTTTGTGGCCCAGAATCACGCTGGTATGCTATTCATATCATTCCACAAAGGCTCATATCTAAAATAGCAGATTATGAAACTTAGTATACTGAGGACTGATTTGATACTCTCATATACTTTCAATGTTAGCTTTTTGTTAAGATGCACAGCAGCAAGTTTTTGCTCAAAGCAAGAGATAAATCATTTGACTAATAATTAAAGACAGTATTCTGCTCCCTTTTCACCAATTATTAAAGACTTCTCTAGTTCCCTTCTTTTAGGCAAAAAAGGGAAGTTTGGAAACTTAAACTTTCTGCTGTGATTTCCTGAGTCTTTTCATCCTTTCTGTAGTCCAATCCCTCTCTCTCTCTCTTTATTGAGAAGCAGTGTGTTTCAAGCTGCTCCTTCAGGACGAAAGAACCAAATCTAGTCAACCATGATTTTATTCCTAAACTAAATTTAGCCATCAGCTAGCAAGTATGATATACATGCTTTTCAATGCTAGGGATCATCAAATCAGGAGGTGTTGTGGAATGTATGGACAATACACTTTGAGATACATCCTTTCAAGAGGCATGTTCGTGATCTACCAGATTTGTACTTCAGATATAATATACCTTGTACATAAACTCCAAAAATAAATGTTTTTCTTCCAAATGAAACTATTATCAACATTGCTATTAATCAAACAGAGTAATCAAATTCTCTAGGCCCAGATAAAGTTATCATCCAGCTTACTATCCTTTATATTGCAAATTAGCTGGATTTGTAATGTTTGGTGAATTTTTAAAATCCATTTTTTCCAAAAGAGGAAAACTGGTAGCTATCTAGAGCACTTTGATTGCAGCAAGCTATCTGGAACACTTTGACCTCTTCTAATTCAAAATAAATGCATGTTCCTCCTTTGCTTGTTCACAGTGAAGCTGCAATCAGCTTCTTAAGAGAAAGCACAATGGGAGCCTGATGTATGCTTTCTCCTTGCCTGATATTTGAAAATCTTACTTGCTTATTCTACCAGGGCTTAAAAATCTAGCTACATTTTCCCCCAGCCTGCTCTATTCTTTCCCAGCAAAAATTATTAGAACTTGCAATTAGTTTTCTAGGTTTTTGAGTAGGGCTCTCAATTTTTTTTCTTGAAGAATATTGGCTGCTTAGAATTAGTCAAGAATCAAAGAAACATGTCAATGGCTGTGCTTGGATAAATGATTTTTGTAGCCATACATCCTTGAAATCTTCAGGCAACAGCTCTTTTGAACAGACAGTATAGAAAACTTGAATGTTAATGTTTTTAATGCTTTTTGCCACCTTATTGTTCTTTTATAAAGTTGAATTTGATTTTCCTCAATTCCATTTTGTATGAATTTTGGTATTTTGGCCCCATCCCATTTGCTGTCTATTCAATTATGTTGAGCCCATACATTATCAGTTTTTCCCAGTTATTATAAAATATATTAATAAATTATGCCAAAAACCCAGTGAAAATGTGTAGTAATGACAGTTTACCTAAAGGCTTTAGAAACATTAAGGAAAAACTCTATGTGGCGAAATCCATTATACAATCTCTAATCTCTCCATAACATGAGAGAGAACATTTTCAAAATAAAAATGAATATACAGCAATATGCAATCTTATACGAATTAGGAAGTGACAATTATCTATTGGCATAGATAATATATCCAGAATGTATTCAAACCAACAGGGAAGGGGAGAAACCAGAAGAATAAGTAACCCAAATTTACATACTCCTGTAAATTCTACAACTACCTACCAATCTGTGCTATGTCATTCATGGTAAAATTGGGTAAGAATGCAGTTTCCTATGTGACTAACCCCAATGGTATATAGCAGAACTCAGCTGTAATGGGAGGTTGGCATCCATGGGTGGTTGTTACTAGTATAAAATATTGTAGAGGAAAAAACAGTTCTGTAACTCTGTGCCCATAAAGCCCATATAACCTCCTTGATACAAAGATTCAATGCTCATCCAAGTAAGAAATGGGAACCTGAATCCCACGAGAAGAAAATGCTTTCACTTTCCATTTCTACAGCTTGGGAACAAAAATGTTCAGCTATAGATGACAGAAATCAGAAACTACAGGAAAAAGCTGCTGAATAACTCAGATGTTATATACCTGAATTGCTTGGTTGAATGTAAAGTACTGCTTCAGGCCCTGTTGGTCTATTGGCCTTCTGTAAAGTCTTAGTTTTTCCTCTAGGCAATGGGTCAGAATGCTGGATAAGTCCATCTAGAAATGAAATGATTTGAATGGGAATATGTTCTTTTCAATCTCAGTTTTTCGATTCTGAGTATCTTGAGTTCTAGTTGCTGTTTCGAATTTAACAGCCATATACAATATGTACATAAAACAATAAGGTTAATGTGAGGCAAATAACACTTAAAAACACTAAAACCAAGTTGGAATACTGCTGCATAGTCATGTGGCCACTAGCCCCTCCATCTGCCTAAAAGTGGTACTTCTGGCCCCTTTGTAAAGCCCCATAACCCAGAGCACAAGAATGAATAATAAGGGGGAAGAAGCCACTGATCCTGGCTTTGTATTTTGCCCCATTCATCTCAGTGGATATAGTATGGGGCCAACTAAAAAATAAGCAAGAGTAGGGGAAAGAGATGTCCAGTTTTGGAGTATTAGTAATGGATCTACCCAACCAGCCAGCCAGCCAAACAAAAACTCACACAAGCAACAATGGCAAATACTTTATTGACCAGCATTTGGGAGGAAGTAGAACCCAAAAGATTAAGAAATATGAGAAGTTGTTCATCAGCAGGATCCTAGACACAAAGCTGGGGAGTAAGATTAGGATCTGGTGCATTTGCTGCATAACTTCCAGTCACAGTATGTAGGTTGTCGTGCAAGTTCTCAATTCTATGCATTCTTCTGGGCACTTGTAAGGAAATCTTTTTCCTCTCCTGTTTTTAACAGGCTGTGAGATAGTTCTTGTGTCTGGAGGACAGCCTGTAGGAAATAATTGGAAATGGAGAAGAATGAGCCTCAGGCAATGAGTGAAAGACATCATTTTTAAAATCTGAATACATAGATATTTGTTGGTAGGAGGAGAGAAGAATGAGTGATACCATCTAATTCTTTGACAGTGTTCGTACTTCAGCCTCCAATCCCCGTTGGGGAAAGAAATTTTGGTGTCTCGTGAATATAGCTATGTTTAAGGCCACAGCAGCTATCCGGATACTTTGAGGCTAAAGGAATGCATATAGCATTTTTGGGAAGCCCAATGGGTGTAATGAGTGAGGCAATGATGCAAAGTGGTGACCTAAATTATTTTTCTTGCTTGAGTGAGAAAGTCTGTAATACTACTAATTTTCCACAATAGTAGTAAAAGAAGAATCTGGAACCTTAAAAAAGGAAAAACTTCATATGGGCGCTGTAATGGTTTGTTCTGTTGTATACATGTGTTGCTCTCTTAGGCAGAATTGTGTGTAAGTGAAATGGATGGCTGGTGTCAACAGCTGCAGATATTCATCTGAGCAGGGATAAGTGCTTTCTCTCTGAGTGTGAAAACCTTTCCTTTTGTTATTACAGTGCAGGCAAGTCACTTTATTTACAAAGGGAAGGGGGAGGTAGTCACAGCAATGAACACTTTGTTGTGATTGTTCTTTTCGCTTGCTTACCTGTGTGAATTGTTCTATTCAGGTGTACTCCACTTCTTGGAATGCAATTTGATGCTGGATATTTACATTTAGAATCTTGGCACTCTCTACGTGACTATTAAGCATAGAGGTTAGCAGTATATTTAAGTTTCTGTAAGGATTTCAGATAGGGTTTTTCCCACTGGTAAAGTTTCTTCTTGTGAAATTTAAGCATGCAATAGAGTAATAATATTAAACAAGAAATGTAAAAAGAAGGTGAGAAAGAGAATGTTTAATAAAGGTCACTTGGGTCCAATATTTAAATATTTAATATGGCCAAGACGCAAACTATATCATGCAGCAGATTAATTAAAATAAATATTAAACACATTTGTTCTCTGTGAGATACTAATAATGAAATGAAAATGCAAAGTAATTTTCATGGACAAGCACTGCTACGTGTTCCCTCTTGCTAAATCTGGTCAACTGTTGACCTAACATGATGGGAACACTTACAGTGATACAGATGGCACTTTTGTGTGTTATGATTCAAAGCCTCATCTAACAAAATCATTTCATATTTTGTATATGAAAATAATCAGAACTTGTTTATTTTTGCTCTTCCTCAAATAAATTCCTTAAACAGCGATTCTGTGTTTGTCAGTGAAAGACTGAAGATTTCATATGAGGAATTATTGAATTCATTCATAAAAAAACACTTTTGATATTCTTTTATGATCCCATAGAGAATTTAACGGAATATTCATGAATCTAAAATGTGCTTGAGCATACCTACTAACACCATCCAAAGTTACATACTGTATGATACAAAATACCAGTCATAATACACTACTAATTTCTATGAAAGTTCAGCTAATTGCCTATTGATCCAATTTGTAATTAACATTAAAAAAAACAGGAAGCTTTGGTAGTACATTTTCCAACTTGCTTTATTTATTATTGTTTGCTGCCAGAATAACTTGTTAAGATGGGTGGCCATACAAATGAAGTTAATAAATAAACTGCATATTTAAAGACAGAAAGACTTCAAGCAAAAATATACGAAACTCAATTTCTGTTGCCTTATTATGTACAATTGAAAGAAGCTGTACAAAATTGAAAAAGGTGGAGTTAGCTGGTCTGTATTATGAATTAATCACAATTATATTGATTGTATAATTATCATAATGCAAACTAATAAGCTAAATTTGTGAAAGTATGTACTATAATATATAAAGGTATCCGTGTCCACCTCTAGGAAGTGATGCTTATCTTCGTTTTTTTAGTCGACAGAGCCAGCATTGTCCAGAGACATTTCCATGGTCATATGGTCAGCATGCCGATGTTAGATGAAACATTGTTACTTTCCCATTGAAATGGTACCTATTTATATACTTGCATTTGCATGCTTTAGAATTGCTAGGTGAGCAAGACCTGGGGCAAGTAACGCGAGCTCACCCCATCATGTGGTGCTTGGATCTTAAACCCGGGCTGTCAGTTTTCCAGCTGGCAACATCAGCATTTTAACCAATGAGCCATCATGTCCTCCTGCTATAATGTGTAGTTAAGTAATGAATACAATAACATTAAGGTGAATTTCATCTAAAGAGGATTATAGAATGGATTAGCATGAACCTGGTCTTCCAAAAATAAGTCCTGTGGATAGTCTTGTTCAAAACCATAGGATCATAAAATACAATGGCTGGAAGGAACCTTGGAAATGATCTAACTGAATGCTGTATCCTAAGAAAGTCAAGGTAAAGCAGTTGATTGCTCTCCTTATTTGTCTTCCTCCCAAAGGTAGTAACAATACTGTGAGTGCTTATTGACTGTACATCTTTATAAATAATAATAATAAATGATTGCTTTAAATCTTTATAAATAATAAAGATGTAATAAAGATGCTTTACATCTTTATAAATAATAATAATAAATAATTTAAAGCAATAATATAATGTAATATATTATTTTATTGATGTATTTTCATATATATGACTATTCAATCTTTTTTATTTCAACTAAAGAAATGAGCTTTAGTTAGTTGTAAGAATTTTATCCTTCCTTTCTAAGCAGATCTACAGAAAAAAATACAGCTGATCTCTCCACTCTTCTGACTATGCTTTTCTTATTTTCTTTCTTTGTAACTTTCATACATAGTTCTGTAATTATATTCATACCTTTCTTTACTTCAATTGAAATTTTATTTCAAATAAATGTTAGTAACAATTACTTATGGAGAGAATATTGTTTTAGGTCTCTGGAATCATTTCACGCTTCAGCAGTGGGTATGTTTAAGTCTGTTTCTCTACAAGATAATCTGGGGTGATATCAAGATATCCAAACCAGCATACCCATTAGTTCTAGCAACTAAGAACAATAATCAGGAACAGCTATTACATGTACATATATTGAAATATATTTCAATTGAAGTAAAGAAAGATATGAATATAATTATTATAATGCATATAACGCAAAATTTTAATACAAATTATTTCGCACATTATCTTCCTTTAGCAGGCCCATGATTACCAATAATTTACAAATAATGAACCAATGATATGGCTAAGTATAGATTTGAACCTAGATTACTAAAACAGTAATAAGTGCAATAATCTCCCAATTTGACAAAACCACATAATATCAGAAATAGAACTGCTTATTTTCTGCTTTTTATTTTATTTATTTTATTTAAAAGTTAAAATACAACTCCAATAACAAAGTGAGAACAAAATCAAACAAGACAAAAAGAAAGAAAAAAGATTAATTTGCAGAAAGCCTTATTCACTTCAGTCATTGTCCTTGGTCCATCCAGAATCAAATACCCTTAAATGATTCTTAGTAATAAAACTTTTCCTTAAAATTAATACTGGGGTCTTTCTACATAATTTCATTTCCAAAGTCATAAATCTCTGTTGTAGATACCTTCACAGCATTATTTTTCAAAAATTCTGTCATTTCTGGATTTTTTAGATTCATAGCCCTTTCTACCTTATCCACCAAATTTGTAATTTTCCAACAAAGTTTCTTCTCCTCCAACTCTGTCGCAACAGATTAATTTCCAATCCATCTGACTTCAAATCTAATTCCACTGTTGCCTGTATTTGAATAGCCTCTTTAGGGTGATTATAATTGTTGTTGCTTCACTGAACTTATCTAAATTTTTAAAAAGAGCTTTTAAGGTAAGAAGCATTCTTCCTTCAAACACTTCCCAGAAAGTTTTTGTTGTTACCATTTTTAATGTAATCCAAAACATATACAATTCACCTCAAGGGCAGTCTGTTCCACAGTCAACTAATTGCAGGAGGAATTGAGATAATTTTTCCCAGCATAAAGAGTAAATAGAAGAGATAAAATGGAAAGTTTTGGCTCTTTAAGAAGAAATTTTCAGAAATAAAATACAATAAAATAGCACAGTTCTTATAAAAAGTGGTAAACAAATTCCTTACTCTAAGAGTCCAATGTAAATCAATTCATTTTCACTATGTAAGAAAAAATCTTTGTACCACTGACTTCCATGTGACAAAAGCAAAATTTTTCATTATTCCAGAAAAAAAGCAGTAGTAAAGAATAAAAACTTTAGGTTTATAATCCAGCAAGATTATAAAAAAAAAGTTCAGCATTCAATCAGATGTTTAAAATTTACAATGTAAAGCAAAAATGAAAGAAAACAAATTAAAAAAAAAATATGTTAAAGGAAGGCACGCTTAAATACCTGAACAGCTGATAGGAAAGGATGGGGACCTGACTCTCCAGCTGTTCTTACTGTGAATTGCAATTATCAAGATTCCTCTTCATTGGTAAGCAAGGGGTCCCCCGAGAGTCACCTGGGGTCATTCCTTAGTTGCTCCTGTTCAATCTAGGGAGCATTTTGCCACCAAAGAGTAGGCTTTGGTAGTGAAATCAGCTGTTAGTCAGGGGGGGGGGAAATCCTCCCAGCTGCTCAGAGGCACCATTTTCAAGGATCTCCCTTCTGCTTTATCCAGAATGTTTCATGGTGGCATCAAACATCCATAAGCCAGAAAATAGATAAACAATAAAAGTACCTTTTCTATGCTTCATTACAGTTTTTAATTCCCTTGGTAATATTTCAGTTCTTGATTTGACTTTGATTATTGTTTCCGTAATTATTCAATTATATATATGTATATGTATATCTGATCTTACCTGAACGATTGTTGGGAGACATGCGCACCGGAGAGATGGAAGGTGTGCGTGAGGAAGAATACGGTCTTTGCCTATCCCTCTCTATTGTTGATGATGAAGCTACAAAATGATACTGTGACCATCCATCCTGCAAAAAAATAAAAATAATCAGTAAAGGCTAGTGATAAAATATCATCATTGCTGAAATCTACCACATTCCTGCTTGGTAAACATATGTTTTAGAAAAGGATATGAGATTTGGGACAAACATATTATATATTATTTATATTACATCTATATTATTTTCAGATGCTAGTGCTTATTTTAAATATTAACGTTACAGAATATCCAGTCTTTTAGAACAAAAATATTCATTTGTGAAAAACAACCATTGACATGAAAGGATAACCATTTATTTTTTTAAAATTAGAATGAGAAAACTAGTTCAGTTTTAAAAATATTGTGATAATAGTATTTCAATAAATAAATAGAGAAGAAATGCCTTAATGAATTATATGAGGTCAATCACCCAACTCTTTTCCTAAATTTATTTAGCTCACAGTTTCTAAGTTTTCTGAAAAGGGTAATGCAAGTTTTAACATTGCTTTATAAATGGCCTTAACTGACCATAGGAACACAAGATACAACATAATTCTAGTAAGCAACCAATTTTGACAGTTCAGTTTTGTATTTGGGCAATTCCATTTAAAAAAAAGCCTTAGGCCCATGGATTTTTTTAAAATTTAGCTGAATTTCCCCAAGATTGGGACATCAAATTTGATAGCAGATTTTGTAGTTTACAGCAATGTGAATTCCTGATCATTTTTGTGGTGAAATAAAAACAAAGATGCAGAAAACCTTAGATAAATCTCCAGTTAAACCACATTTAACCATGTATTATATTATTTTAAAATTAAACCTCATTCTGGAGGTGGCATACTTTATATTAATAGTAAATACATACAGAAACTCTGTCGCTTCCAAAAACAAACAAACAAAACAAACAAAAAGACTATTGATTCCACCCTATTAGTAACATGACAATTTAGGTACTCTGTGGCCTTTGGTTTAATTTTTTTAAGATTTAAAAAAAACCCACTGGCTGCTAAAAGATTACCCACCACTTCTATAATTTAGGTTCTTTTGGCTAATATACTTGCTCACACGAACAATGCAGCAAATTGGGTTATGAAAAAAAAGGTTGTTTAACAAAAGCAGAAATGAAAATACAAGCCTTTTTAGCATTGCCAAGCCTCTTGGCAACACCCTTTCTCCTTGTATTTTGCAAATAATACAAAACTACTGTTCCAATGTGCATTTGATCTAATTTTATAGTGGATATGCACAGGCATTGTATTTTTAATAATTGGAATGTTTTCTATCTTATTCCTACTTTGCTATTCATTGCCAATCTTGAATAGGTGTTCTAAATACTATAGAAAAAGTACACAAGCATCAAGCTGTTTCTGTGGTGAAAAACAGTATTAACACAAGGAAAAGTGTATATTTTAATGACATATTGTATATTAAGACATATCATGTCAATGAAATTAATATAGTAACATGCCTCAAATTATGAAGTAGTACAACTACTCAGAGAGATCATCCTCAAGTTAATAGATTGTGAAGTGAAAGCTTAAATAGCAGTTGCAAATTTTAATCTACAAACCTAATATCTCTGAAGTCAATTTAAATCAATATGTTTTTCTTTACTATAAATATAGATTTGTCCAAAGGTCTCTTAAAATAATTGCTTGAATTCCACCTAATACCTGCCTCACTTAGAAAAGCCAAACTGAGTGCCATTGGAAAAGGACAAGACCACGTCTTCTACCAAATTTGAGAGGAATAGGTTGGCTTGAGAGAGTGCAAGATAAGACAGCAGACCACGCTTCCAACTTTGCTGTTGCTCTGCATTCACCAACTCCCTTAAATCAGTCCTGCTTTGGGAATAGCCAACTGCTGCTATGAGAACTCACAAGGGGTTGATGATCCACGCTTTTCTCCAGAGTCAAGCAACTTTTCAATAGGTGGGAGAGTACTGAGCATGCTGAGATGAAGATATTTGTTATTTTTTACCTAAGTTGAGATTCTGGCCATGGTCTTATAAATTGCAGAAGATGGGTGGCCTATAGATTTTATAAATAAATAAAACAAGCAAACAAGCAAGCAAAGGCAATTTGATGCTTATTTATAGATATTCAAGTTTAGAAATTGATGTGAATACCAAAAAAAAGTATTGGCAGTGTTTATATTAACACATGTTCAAGGTTATGGACTTATCCTGATCTACTGTATTATGAATGAGCCATATGCTGGTGTATGCTATTCTCCTGTTCCTTTCTATATGGGAACAGCAAAATAACTCAGGATTTGTTTCAAAATCATACAAAAACTTTGCAAACAATTTAACTTATTATATTTTGTAAATCTTCAGTTTTTATCCAGGTATTCCTACTAAAGCAGGCAAGATACACAGGCAATTTCTGTTCAGTTGTGTGCAAAATTGCTGTTGCCTGCAATTGCGAAGGGTTTCAGACAAAGAGGTGGTTTTTAACCTCTGAAATTTTATATTCAATAGTTTTGTTAATCTTTAAACCTCTATAGAAACTTTGGTTTGCCTTTGTTCAGAATAACTTTTTGAAGTTTCAAATCTCTAAAAATACACAATGATTTCTATTACAACAGATAGAACATTACAAAATACTTTATTTGTACGCTCCAAATGCTGCCATCTGGTGAATGACAGCATTTTTATGTGAAAACTCCATTCTATAAGGTAGTAGTTTCTATTAAGTAATCCTAAATGGCTTAATAGACATTTCCTAGGCAAAGTGAATTGGAACTGAAGTAAACAACGAAGCTAGCAAAGTTGGCAAATAGTACACTTATTTATGTAGCCTGAGAGTACCGAAAGTTTTCATATGAAAAGATACTCCTAAGAGATTGGAAGAGGGCTCTGCAATAACCTATTCTGATACTTCTCTGAAAAGACCTGTAGCTTCAAAAATATGATAGCAACATGTTGTTTGTGCAGTCATCCCTACTGTTTTACACAAAAATCAATGAGCAAATTCTGTTGGGTATGTATGGATTTTCAATCTGGGCTAGATAATACCACAGTCAACACAAGCTAGTTCTTAAGATTATAGGAACATAATATAGGAAGTTGAATTTATGTTTTGCTTTGATGTCCCTTCATTCATTTTCCTGCTAATTGCCTTATTAAATTGAGGTTTAAATATAATTTGATTTGCCCTTCTACTGTCATGTTGCTCATGAAACAAAATGATAGCAAAAAACCTAAAAATGTTGTTTTCTTTTCTTTTGGCAGGGGCAGTCTTCTCTTTAGTTTAATAATATATGAAAATGCAGCTTAAATGAAATAATGTCTTTTCAGATCAAAACAAATGCTGTTGCCAATATATATTATACATTTCAAATTACAACCTTGATTTGGGGGCACTATGTCTCCAACTTCTTTTCTAATGCAGTTACTGCAAATATAACATTAGCCTTCCTTTACTCTACGTCCATTTCCATTTTATAAGTAAATATTGAATAATAAATTCATTAGATATATTTCAGTTCTAAAAGTGATTACTGTTAAAAGATTTAAGCCAATTTTTAGAAGTCAAAAGGGAATATTATCAATTGAGTGCAAAAATAAATATAAGGTGACGTGCTGGTTGCCTTCATAGATTTAGTGCTTCTAATGGAATTTAATTAAATTGATCTGGATATTGTAGAAGTACAATAGATTTGGGACTCCTGAAGTCAGTATGTAACCATTCTAAAGGTAAAACGTTGGGTATTTCTGAACCCATTTGTATCCATCCTACTTAATCCTAATTAAGCAAAATTAAGCAAATAACATACTTAGAAGGAATTCTTATTATGGGAACAACAAGAACAGGTGTGTGTATAATTTATTTAAATTAGGCAATAAGATCTAGATTTTAATATAATTGCAAAGTCTAAGAAAGATTCTAAGAAAAAAGTCTTAGAAGGATTCTAAGAAATCTCTGAATCATAAGCCTGCTCAAGATCCCGCCCCCCTTAAAAATAGATAAATCCACTTTTAAAGAGAATTTGAAGGAGAATACTTGCTAATTTTATCCTTTTTCTTTAGGATTGGATCTACTAAATGGTACCTCAGGAACACTGCAGAACTATTATTTATTAATACTGAAGTTGCAGTTGTACTTATTAATGTTAACTAAGGCTGAATTTACCACAAAGGATCCACTGAAAGACCCTTATTTCAATATATTGAATGAGACAGAAAGAAACAATTATTTAAAAAAAAGTCAAACAAAGAGATGGGTGCACAAGAATAACTGTGTGTCTACTCTTTAGGTGCATAATATATTAACATATTATTTGTCTTCTGGTTCTAATATGGCTTCCAGAACTGACATTATTAATATATGATGTCTTAATATATTAATATACTATACCTCCATTAATATTTTATAGCATATTCACAATATTTAAATGAATAAGATTTCTGAAGTACAAGGCAGCCATTGGGATTATACTTCATGTTTTGGCCTTTATATATCTTGTATTTATTAACTGTTCTATTTTGTAGCTTTTCTGGAGGATTGAGCTGAGAAATTTTAAGTTCTAACAGATATAAGTTATAGATCAGTGCCACTTAAATTTTTCTACCTGGTTGGCAAGCACCAAATGATTGATAAAACAAAAAATAGATGGGACTAAACATGGTTGATTTTTACTCAGGATTTAAGCTATTTTAATCAACCATAAATAAAAAGCAAATACTGAGGAATATTGCCAATACTGCAGGTGAAAAAACGATAACTGACCTAGAAAGTTACTATGTAACGCATTTATGTAAGTAGAGGTGAGAACTGATACAGGATTTCATTCCTTTTGTATTGCAAGAAAAATGCTGTCCCCACCCTTCTCTCCAGTTCATAGAAAAGCAATCATGACGTCAGAAATAATCATTGTAGTGCACTACGGAGAACTGCATGTATCTGTCCTTCAGGCAGAAAGGGAAGAATGAACCAGAGATGGAAAACATCTTTAAAACTTTTGGAATACAGCATAGAGGCTCTCCACTAAGAATATATTTTCTTGACACTAATGAAATTCAACAAAATTTAGTGCTGCATCAGA